TCGCAGGAGAGCGGATGTCGTTTCTTGCTCGACTTATTTCGTTCTCCGGTACGTCGAGTCTTCCTTCCCGTTCCTTTGTGTCCACCTCCTTTTATTATTTTACACAACTTCCTGCGTCCGAAAACATCGATGGTTTAACCGAGAACAGGCAATTTCTCTGCACCGTAACGAACTCTTATGCTTGTATATGCGAATACGCGCGTGCGCGCGTGTATGCACGTGTATGCATGCATGTGTTTTGCGTTAGATCACCTTTCCCTTCCCTTTCTCCTTTCCTTCTTATTCTTCTTTGTTCGCTTCTCTTGGCTTTCGTAAAAGGTTAATCTTGTTTCCACCTAATGATCGCTATCTTCACTCGGTGTATTAACTTGTATCTTCGGTAATTTACGAAACGTCGTCGGTTGTCCATTAAAACGACAAGTGGTACGACTAGGTATATAAACTTTCTTTCATTTTTTTTCCTTATTCCGTTTCTTTTCATTCAATTGAGTATTCAAATGGAGCAAATTATTTTCTTTTTCTTTTCTATTGAAATTACTATGTTAATTTATTTTACCTTACTTTACTTTACTTTACTTCTCATACTTCATTAATTTCCATTAATTAATAATTTTAAATATTATTAAATCAATTAATATTTTTAATAATAATTATTTAAAAATATAACAAATAATTTATTAATAAAAAAAAATAAAAATCTAACAATTTTCAATAATATTAAAAATAATAATTAAAAAAAAAAAAAAGATTTAAAATTAATTTAAAAATGATTATTTATGTAAGACAAATAATCTCTTACTCTCTATCTCTCTTTTCATAAATTTTCTTTTTCAGTAGTAAATTTGTATAGTAAGAACTAACAAACGAGGAAAACTCGTAGCTTGTGCTATCGAAATTACCATCATGGTGGATTAACCGTCTCCTATCGATATATTTCCTACGTACGTTATGCTTAAAGAGTTTGTTTGTTTCAGCGGAATTTAAGCTTAGAGATAACACAACCGAAAGAGCAGCTGCACACCAACTCTGGCACCCTGTCGCGAGCGTTTATATTACTATCCAGAATATATATATATATATGTATTATATGCTTGCAGGACATGCATCATGCATCGATATCTTTCGTAACAACGAACCAGACAACTATAAATTGCCTGTTCCGATATCAAATTTAATTTCACCTCTTTATCTTACAAAATCGTGTTTTACCTTATTTCGTTATCAAGAATAAATAAAATTATAAAAAGTCGCATGATATCGACAAAACGATGAGAATGGTTTTTTTTTTCTTTTTATTCAATAAATTAATCGTGAGGATATTTATTTTGTAGAGATTACACGTTTGTATGTTGCGATAAATGTTATATTAAATATGAGGAATGTAATAATAAATAAATTGAAAAAGAGATCCTACTTCGTTAATAGTCACGGAACGAATGCCTTTCAAGTTCATATAAATCGAATGTGTTTACGTAAATGCTTCTGCGAAGTCAGTCGGTCAAAAACATTCAGTAACGTATTTGTTTATATTTCTACAGCTTGGTTTTGCATTTGTAGATACATGACATCCCTTTTGCAACACATCATGATTATTAAAAACAGAGAGAGAGAGAGAGAAAGAGAGAGTGAGAAAAAGAAACCAACGGATACACGCGATAATTTCGAGCTGATTTTATGTCGAGAAAGAAAAGAACTTATGGGAGTTAGTTTTTTTTGTTAACCATGACCGTCTACCGTAATGAAATCTACGATCTTCATGGGTGTTGAACAGAAGACAACGAATCTCTGAAAATCTTTCGTTTTGACTGTTCGGTTAAAGCCATAGCATGACGGTTGACCGTGACAGTTCAAGCGGCACTTCCGGCGAGCTTACCTGCCCGACCGGAAGTGGCTTCCCTCTCTCCCTTACATCCTGAGGTTCGTTTGTGCATCATCTCGCATTATTTTACATACCATCGTATATGGTTTCGAAATGTTGCCTTGTGGGTTTCCGTTTCCGTAGTTATAGCGAACAAAATAATCACAAAATTACATGGGAAATCTCCGAAAGACGTATATCAATGTACTAATTTTGTGAATTTTTTGAAACCAAAAAAAAAAAAAAAGAAGTTGACTAAACATAATATGTTAATTAAAACTATGACAAATTATTATTACAAATTTTATTATTCACGATGGAAATAGTCATGGAGTATTTGTTTCGAAATTAAAAGATAATCATGATCTATGTTACAAAGATAACTCACAATGTGTACAATACATGATGAAAATACCTACTTTAACATCATTCGACAAATTTATCTACGTTTTTATCATGACTGTAGATAAATATAATTACTTCTTTATCGACACAACTCTCTACGATCGATAACAACTGTTACCAAAGAAATCTACTTACCAACATCAGTACTGATGTAGTAGTAAAGGATAAAACCTACATTATCGACAGTGGTACGAAGAATACTTTTCATTACTTTTGAACTGTTTAGAATTGATACATTCATTTCGTATACGCGAAAGTATTATTCCATATATTATAGAATTAATTGTATAAGATAAAAAGTTAATAATCGTAAATTAACTTTCTCGTATAAAATATGTAATTTAGACATAAATCCTATGGAACGATACGCAATATATCGTTTCGTATTTTACGTTCATAAATTACGAAACATTGTTTTATTCCTAACTTCCATCTGTTACACACATGAACGATTGGAGAATGGCACAAGAAATTTGCACGAACCAGTGCAAAATATTTTCCCATAGGAATAAACGTATCGCATGTGCTTGCCAGATGATGATGATGATGACGATGACGACGACGATTCGTATTTGAATAAATAATGGCGTACGATGAGTGTCATTGATAAGAAATTGGGGAGGATGCAGATCTTTTTAATCGGATGAGAAAAAAAAAACCAGAATAGTATTGTACCAGATATACAATAATTTCATCTTCCATCGTCCCTTTACATTCGTATCAAAATAATCGTACGATTAATCAAGATCAACCAGATGGATCTAATCTATCCTAAGTCTTTCATTCTAATTTCCCAATGGTGAAACTCACACAACAAATGACACGCGTGAAACGTTAAACGAATTCGCGTTAAAGAATTCAGTTTATTATCATTTATACAATTGTAATCGACTGACTCTTTTCATCGTTCTCGTCGACTAACCAACCCCGATGGTAAATTTTTCTGTCGAATCATCTAGTTTAGAAATTCAATAGGGTCAATATACAATCTAAGAACCACTCGTTGGGGTCTAATCGATTATTATTAGTCTCCGACAATGGATAAAACCGAATTGTGAATGTTGATAGAAAAGTGTGAAAGAATTACTTTATTTCGAAAAGGACCCCTCTATTTAGCGAATGACTCTTCAAATTTTTCCCTTTTATATTTTCAAAGGATAAACAACCAAAAGCTTTTGAGGAGATACGCCATGTTGATAATTTTACGGATGTATGTATGAGTTTTGGTAAAACGATTGTTTTTGAAAGCTTTCTACTTTTATTATTTATTTCTTTTTTACTTTTTCTACCTGTCTCTCTTTCTCTCTCTCTCTCTCTCTCTCTCTCGTTAAATTATTCTACTACTACTACTATTACTATTATTACAATTGTTGTTGCTATTTTCCATCATCAATCTTTCGTAAACCATTCTCTTAAAGTTGTTTTTAGAAATAGAATACCTTAGTAGAATACGTAAGCTATATTGATCTTGAATGATCGAAATAATATTTTATTTTCCATAGGGAAATCATTCATTTTTCCCCTTGAATATGTTAAATGTTCTTTCTTTGAACACAACCAATAACTTTTTCATACGAATCGATAAAGATTTTTATCGAAACGTTTTTTTTTTTTTTTTATAATATCGCCGGACGTTGTTCCTTTCTCTTTTTATTCAAATTAAGACGATAAAATTGAGAATCGATTAACCCTTTTACGGTCCGAGTTATTTTCGCCGTTTCATTTACAGCTTACTTGCATCGGAGTTGACGTTATTTTAATATTATAATAGCTAATTAAATATTTATATTTTAAACATCAATCCCCTACTAAAAGTATATATATATATATTTCTTTATTTATATTGTAATTATTAGTCGGATGATTGATCTTCAACATAATCATATTTTTTACACTTAAATGCGTACTTTAATTAAATGCACTTTGATATAGACTTGATTAAAATCATTCAAATAATTCTTTGATAAAAGAAAGATCTTTTATAATTATAAATGTTATTTTTTCAAATGAAGACAAGTTATTTTACAACTTTTCTTAGACATAAGAATATATATGATTACAGAATTTAGATTTGAAATCAATTACTACGTTTAGTATTAATCTTTTTGATACATACAAGTTGAAATGACTTCTGTTGTCTCTCGGGAATATTTTAGATATGATATTTCAAATAATATTTTGTTTATAATATAAAATAATATTACTGCAAAGTTATTTCTTGATGATATATGTATATATATATTGAAAAAATTATAAATATCTTGAAGATTTAAAACATTTGCATTATCGAGCTAGATTCGTCCATATTTATATAGGTTTTGCTAGAACGTAATGTGACATTGAATGAACGAAATGTTACATAAAAGAGTTAAGAAACAGTAGTGTATCTATAATAAAATGACAGAAGCTTATTTTTACTTCGTAAATGCAAGAAATTAGATATCAACGAAGGAAGGAAACGTGTATTTCAAAGATACGGGCACCGGTATCGCGTCATTTCTAAATTGCCTTTAAAACATTCTTTCGTTAAAACGTCATCATCGTTGTTTAACTTTCCCTTTCTCTCTCTCTCTCTCTCTCTCTCTCTCTCTCTCTTACTTGCTTGAAAATAAATAAAAGAAAGCAAGAAAAGAAAAGAAAAAAGAAAAGAAGAAACAAACAAACGTAATGGATTAAAATAATTCGACACATTCCGCGATTGATTTCAATTTCGAAGAAAGAATTTCATTGTACTTACCTGAGAGAAATATGGCGGCAATACGCATCGTTGATCGTCCAATCGTGAACTTTGAACTCTTTCCAACAATTCGAAGAGATCTTGCGTGGTAGTTGCCTGTAAATAATACAAAATGTACGTATTTTGTTTGCGAAGCTTGACAGAAAAATAAAAAGGATAAGAAAAGAAATATATTTATATAAAGAAGAAAAAAAAGGGAAAAAAAGAAAAAACACGCGTCGGGACTTACTTTTATCTTATCCTGATTGGTGCCATGGACGTCTTGCCTTTCATCTTCCACAGCGCTCCTCCGAGATTCGGACTCGCAATATACGGACTGTTCAAGCTGCTGCCTCCTGTAAATACAAAACAAATTGATTCACCTAATCCAATATCCACGTGATTTTTAAATCCTCATAATATGTTACACATAGAACTTTTATAGGTTAGGATTTTGCTTCCCTTCGTTCGAAGTGGAACCTTTGATGAAGTAACCTAGTAGTACAAAATATTGAAAAATATTGAATACATGTGTATTTAATATTAAAAACAGATTTAATGTCTTTTTAATATTATAAATACACATGTATTCAATATTTTTCAATATTTTGTGCTACTAGGGTAGTTAAATTTTACTTATAAACGTTTTAGATAATAACCATTATTATATATGGAAATCTAATGGGATTAAGAAATTTAATTAAAATATTAACTATTATGCAAAATTAATTATTATATTGTAATAACGATTTGTATAATTTTATATATTATATATGCACTATGCACCATCTATTAGATGCACAAACCTAATGAGTATAAAATTGATTATATTAATAATTTAATTATAAAATTAATAATATCGGGAAATTAATAATATTCAAATGTAAGTAAAGACTATCAAATATATTAATAAATATTATAATAACAATTTGTACAAATTTATATATTACATGTACTATGCACCGTCTATTAGATGCACAAACCTAATGAGTATAAAATTGATTATATTAATAATTTAATTATAAAATTAATAATACCGGGAAATAAATAATATTCAAATTCAAGTAAAGACTATCAAATATATTAATAAATATTATAATAACGATTTGTACAAATTTATATATTACATGTACTATGCACCATCTTAATAAATGCACAAGATCTAATGATGCACAAGCCTAATGAGTATAAAATTAATTATATTAATAATTTAATTATAAAATTAATAATACCGAGAAATTAATAATATTCAAATGTAAGTAAAGACTATCAAATATATTAATAAATATTATAATAACGATTTGTACAATATTATATATATAACATGTACTATGTACCATCTATTAGATGCACAAACCTAATGAGTATAAAATTGATTATATTAATAATTTAATTATAAAATTAATAATACCGAGAAATTAATAATATTCAAATGTAAGTAAAGACTATCAAATATATTAATTAATATTATAATAACAATTTGTACAGTTTAATATTTCAATAACTAAATAAATTTCTTGCATATGATAACAAGAGTGTTATCATTGTGTACAGTCAATAAATGTCTTAGGATTGATTGTACGTATAAAGTATTCGAATAATTGGTCACGTGACACTAACCATAAGAAGAAGAAGAACACGAAGAAGAAGAAGAAGAAGAAGAAAGTTTGTTCTTCGGATGATGAAGAGGGTAACAGATGGAGACAAGAGTAGGTCGAAAAGTCGTTAAATAGTTAGTAAAATGATTCCTTCTAATTCGAGGATCCCCTACGAAGAAACGAGGGTGAGAAAGAGAGAGAATAAGAGAGAGAAAGACAGAGAGAGAGAGAGAGAGAGAGAGAGAGAGAAAAGAATTAAAAACAAACGCGTTACATCTGCCGACAGCTGTAAATTTTTCAACTTATGGCGATGACCTATGTCTTCTCTTTTTTTTTATCTCTCTCTCTCTCTCTCTCTCTCTCTCTCTCTTTTCGTCTCCACCATATTTTCTGTTTTTCTTTTGCAAAAGGAGAAGAGAGGGAAATAATAGGTACATTGTAACGTCTCAGAATCATGCAACTCATCTCATTTTGCTGGCCGGTTATAACCAAGTACCGATCGATCGTATCGTATCGTATCGTATCGTATCGTATCGCATCGTATCGTATCGCATCGTAGTTTGATCGAACTTCGCAAATAAATTACTCTTCCCCCGTAACCCGTCCCTTTATCACTCTCTTTCTCTCTCTCTCTCTCTCTCTCTCTTTCTCTTTCTCTCTTTCTCTCTGCTGGTCTTTTGCTCTCTCGGTGAAGTAATATGTAAGAGGAGAAACATGGAAGCACCGAGGTAATTCGATCGGCCCTTTCTCCACCTCCGATAATAACACAAGCTTTTTCCTATTTGTAATTTTCCTTATTTTCTTAAGTAGTCTTACTCTGAAGATTGCAAAAAGAAATATAACGTAGTTAAGTGAATATAATCTTTGGTACGCGTAAGTAAAAATAGTTATTTATTTATTAATCATTTTAGAGATTAAAAAAAAAAAAAAAGAAAAAAAAAGAAAAAATTTAAATAAAAATTAGAATGTATCATTGAAAAATAATTCGATTTAAAAATATCGATAATTAGTATTTATTTTTATATATTATATTACAAGTGTACGTTTTAATTTTATATATATAATTTTATAAATTTTATATAATATATATAAAGTATAATTAATATAAATTTATATAATAAATATAAATTTAAATATATATAAAAATAATATTATACAATTATATATAAATTTATAATAAATATAATAATATAAATATAAATAAAAATAATATTATAAAATTATATACAAATTTATATATATATATATATATATTAATATACTTATAAGTATATAATAAAAGTGTATTATTTATATTTAAATTTTTGTTACATAATTATTATATAGATCGAACTAAATAGAATAAAAATTATTTTCAAAATCAATTGTGTACATTTTACAATAAATTTTATTTTACATTTCTATTATTATTGCTATCAAATCGTAAAACAGAATGAAATGTATACAACTTGCGATAAAATATATTTCAAAATATATTTTTATGTTATAACATAAAAAATAATAAGGTATTACGTGAACGTCTGTATGTATAATAACATTTATAAAGGAAAAATAAAAACAAAAACAAAAATGTCGAATTTTTCAATAGAACCTAATCTACATATCATTCATTGATCAATCTAATCATTCTATTGTTCCTACCAAAGATCAGAATAATAGAATAATCATAAATAATTTAAAAAAAAAAAAAAGACAAAACGATGAAGAAAATGAAGCGTGCGATCGAATATATAACCGTATGCGATATTGCGAAAGATACGTTTCAATGAGAAAGCGAGAAAGCGGGACTAACTGGCCACGGCCGCGGCCAACATGGCAAATCGAAAACGGATCGCGAGATCTTTCCATCAGCGCCATTTGTCCTCGTATCTGTCGATAATAGCAGCCCCATGTCGTTTCTACGAGAATACCATAAACAGGACTACGTTACTAACTTTATACTTAACACTAAACGTACCGTGACCGATTTTTTTTATTTTAAATGACTATTTTCTATTCAATTTTATTCCTCTCTCTCTCTCTCTCTCTCTCTCTTTCTCTCTTTTTCTTTATTATTATTATTATAATTATAAATATTGTTTTATTTATTATTTAATTCATTACAATTGATTGCCTATATTATTTCGTTTTAATCATAAATATATATATATTTTGGTATAAGTAGATAAATTGTTGATAGGGGGGGTTTAATATTATATATATATATATACATATATA